TTATGGGATTTACTAAAAAGTTATTTTACGTATTATGGACCTAAGTTAAGAATAATAGCATATATTAAAATTCATTTCGTCGTTCTTTATCCGTTTCATTAAAGCTAAAAATTTAAATGTTTAGACCACCATCTAAATAATAAACCCTTGAATAAATTAGAAATTGACATTGCTAATAAAATCAACCCATAAAACTATGGGTTATTGAGAGGCGAAGCTTTTAAAAATCCTGTAAGTAATGTTCTGCTGGCATAAGAAACAAGATTAATTAAAAATTGTTATTCAATTTTTGTTATTAATGTATTAATTTAATTACTGTTTTCTTTTAGATACCATGTTAACCTGAGTTGTTTTGTAAATTGACTCCAAATAAGGGCCATTTTATCTACTTATGTTAGCGTAGTTGTTTAGATTTTGACAATCCAAACCAGATCATAACGTAAACGTTTTGTAAGGCACGTGGAATAGTTTAATCATACCAGTTAGTTGTAAACAAAGTCACTTAAACAGTAAATTTATTAGGATGGGTGACTTCCACACGGCAACTCATTGTTAATTTGAAGTTTTCTGCAATAGTGCCTTTATTGTTGATATTCCCATTAAGTAACTCTAGCCTCACATCACCATTTGATATATGTTACGAAGAGTCAACAAACATGCTTATGGAAGAAATGTGTTCTTATGGCTTATGGAGACAATGCAAATCGTTCTAATTTTCCTCTATTTTGCCATATGATCAATTTTTGTACAAAGGGAAAGGATGGGCGTTCTAAACATGATCCTGCAGTCTTTTTGTGACTGTGACCAACCAATGGTTATTTTACGAAAATTTGTAAAGATTATAAGTACGCGCGCAATTTCATACACGGCATTTTGATTAATTCCAGTTAATGTACTTAAGAGGGTGTTTTCATTCGATTTAAATTGATTTTCACACTTATGATACTATTTTAAAGAAAACAATGTTTACTTTTACAAACTAAGAAGCCTAAACGGAGTTTCTGGTACAGTGTAATTTACATTTCAAAGTCGTATTTTTGTTTTTTAATAGATTTATACACCCTCATTTCTAGTAAGTTTGTTAGCTAGTATAAATTACGTACTGAGGATTTGACAGATTCCCTGCTATGGTAGCAGTAGACACTATCCCTTGGTTCTGGCACCTGCCTCAGCTATCTATAAGGTAAATCGTTCATTTTTATTTTATTGTTTTTTCTAATTCGTGTTTTAAAATACGTTTTTATGATAATAATGCCCTATATTTATACAAACCGAACAACTGCCAGTATTTTCTTTCAACGTATAAAGTCATAGTTTGGTTGCCCTTAATTTATCAAACCTCCAAGACGGTCAAATGCGTGACAATTACATAATTCGCAGCATGAAATGAGTTTAGGACCGTACAATCTTTAATATGCTCAGTTTTGTTTTAATAGAATATCCTTGAATCCCAAAAAACTTTGGAAATTCTGGTTGATATCTAAATCAATCTACTATTTGGTTTCAGATCGCTATAGCCATCCTCAAAATCTGACATTGCGTTTAGCGCAGTAAGTGAAGAATTGCATCATTTTAATTTTGAAAATACTTTGATTCCATTCTCATAGTTTCATATATTTTACACGATTTTATTCAATTTTTATATAGTAATTATCTTGGTGGAGTTTAAAACTTTCTTTTTTAGATTTGAAATTTATATTTCATAGAATTTGTATATTTTATAATTCATTTTCATATTTTAGGAATTTTCTCCTTTACTTTTTAGAACTTTCTTATAATTTTACTCTTCTCTCCATCTTTATATGTTTTTAATCTTTTTTACTTATATCTTTTTATATTTATATACATTATATTTATATATATTTCACAGCATTGTATTTCTTCACTTGTATATATGTGTGTGCAAAATACGTAATGTACATGCATATATAAAATAAATTGAACAAACTATGGTACTGAGGATTAATTGTATATGGTTATAGTATTGAGTTGTATAAAAAACGCTTATAATGATTTCAAAATAAATAATCACATGATCTTTGTACTCCTAAGAAGAATAAATTTTAAACAATCCACGTCTTAAAATTATAAAATTCTTTTACCATGATTTTTATCCTTAAGCATTTAAATCTACCACTACATATCTTACATTCAGAAATGTTTACCACTTAGTTATTCATTTATTTGACTGAAGGCTTTAAAGTTCACCTTAACAATCGTGATTTACCACAGATTTATAATTTGAACGTATATCCATTGAGTTCCCCAACCAGTATATACAAGAATCAAAATGTCTGTAGATTACAAGCTTATACAATATGCCCTTTAAATTTTTATCCGTGGGTTCTTTTTACACTGTTTTTAAATCATACTTTTATCAGCTTTTACTGAATGATATTTTCAACTTATACTTTTTCCTCTTTGAGCTATGCATGTAGTTCAAATGCATGGTTTTTAGTTCGGGTGATTTTAAAGTTTTGACTCTATTTAAATAAACTTGTACACATAAAACTGCGTGTTCAGCAAATTGTACATTATTCATAATTAGGATCTGTATATTATTACTCCAGTGCTCAACTGTATTGTATCCAGTGCTCACATATATTTCATGTTTATAATCATAAGAGTTAAGAGTTATATAATTTTATAGGCCTAATCAAATGTTACACACTACGGTTGTAGTGTAGGCCTATACTGTATGGTATCGACACTATAGCCACTCTTAGTTTAACCCTTTTTAGCGCTATCGTTTGTCATACTACTGATCAGAGATGCATTTGTCTAGTAAATCATTTACTGTTAAACATGTGTAAAGGACATTTCGAGGTTGACTCCGCCAGTTGCACAGCACATGGTATAGTTTTGATGTGTTGTGTTGTAGTGGTGGGGTGGGGTGGGGTGGGGGAGAGTGGTAATGTTAAAGCATCTCACGTCTCGGCGTCGTGCTAAGTAACACTTAACTGCCAATTGTTTACCGCTGTAAATCAGTTGCGACGAAAGTACCACGTCCTTCCTTCAGTTTACGTCGTGTAAATCACTCAGTGGCTAATTACATATCCTGCACTCGCCTCGAGTCACATGGCGCATTTACACACTTACACTTGTACTGTATCTCTCAATCAGTTGTTGGGAAAAACATTGTAACTTCCATTATTGCATCGTGTATTATCAGGTTTGTCTTTGTATACTGGTAGTTCATGATTGCTGTTTTTTTAGGCTTTTGAAAACAAACAAGTTAGATTCAAAAGTATTCTTTTTTTAAGTTGTCAAATAAAAGTATTCACTTTTAAAGTTACACTTTTATGGAGTATCTTTTGGTTTACGATTTACAAAAAAATTGATGTTCAAATGCCATTAGTTCTATTATTTATACTACACAGTAAGGAATAAATAGCTTGTATGCTGCAAAAATACAAGTATCAAAACAAATTATTCAAAATGGGGGTTTATATCGTAACTCAAGATTATCATTTACAAAATTCTTAAATTGTATTGTTACACAATTTAGTCAGACACAAGCCGATTTCAATGACAGAACCTTCACTCCAAATCGATGGACAAACAAAAGTAGAGACAGAGGTTGGAATTTTCTGGTCATCCGACCAATGTTTTCTCTTCCTTTGAGCGTTACAACAAAAACATCGGCCCCAATTACTTCGTATATGAAAAAAACTGGACAAAGAAGATCCTTGTAAATAATGCCTTCTAGTCATGGAAAAATGGCTATTTGATGTTTCGAGGGTGGGATTTAGTTTCAGGTTAATATCCTAGAACCAATTTTCAAAATGGGCTGTTATTTACTAATTTTTGTGTTTTAAGCGTTTTTTGCAGTTGTTTATTCTGTTGTGCAATGCAACAAGACAAAGATACCGAATAAAAGAGATTATTAATCAAAGTAATAGCCCCTTTACGATTTTGTTTATACCAAACCGTAACAAGTAAAGCTATGATAATATTCACAGACTATAGTTAGTTGTGCAACTAGTGAGCAAAGTGAGCAATTGACTCACTCGAGAGAAATACTTACTCACGAGCCGTAGGCGAGTGAGGAATGGTTTCTCGAGTGAGGCAATTGCACTTTGCACTCGAGTTGCACATTATATTTTTCCTACAGTTACCATAAAACAAATAAATTAGTAAAGAAAAGTAACATATTTTTACACAGAAGTGAACTTTTAATATGACATTTAATGATACAACAGTACAACAGCTGACCAGCTGACTTACAACACTGAAAACATACTACTATGACTACTATAGGTTATAGTAGTATGTTTTCTGTGTTTACAGCCAGTGCTGCCAACGTATTTCGCGCGCATACGACTTTGTCTTCATGTTACGCGCTCACTATTTCGTGCCTTCACGTTGCAAATCTGGAGTGAGACAAAGTAATTAGAGTGAGACAATGTTAACATTGTTTCACTGGTGAGCGAATTGGCCACTTTGCTTTCTCAAATCAGTGAGAGAACATGTACATTGTTAGGTAACTGTAGGAAAAGGTTATTTGAATATCTAGGGTGAATATGACTAGGGTAATATTCACAAACATGTCCGATAGATTTTGTAGCAGCTGTTCATAACACATGTTGTTTTCAATTGCCAGAAATGCACTAATCTTGTTGGACCTGTTTTTGTCCAGTTTTAAAAAGAGGTACTATTTGTTTTATTGTTAGTTAGAATGTTGTGTGTTATTGCTTAATATGACGGTATTGGAAACGATGTATATGATAGTCTTATACACTATAAAATATCAGTATACCGTAGGGAAAAATTAATGTGAAAAAAACTCCCCAAAACTCTAGAGACATTGACTTTACTAAACCAAATTGTTTTACAAGTATATTTTGTTGTACTTCTTTTTTATTGTTTGTATTTGTTTACACAGATCGTTTAGGAATTTATATTCGACTTTTGTTTAAAGAATCGTCTTGATTAATTCACCAACACCTCCTAAGATTATTATATGCGACGTGTGTGTAATGCAGGTTGTATGATTGCAGTGAACTCAAAGCCGCTGACCTTTGACGAAGTGTACAACCAGAGTTCGCCCACCAACTGCACGGTCTACTGTGGCGGTCTGACCAACGGACTGACCGAGGATCTCATGCAGAAGACGTTCTCTCCTTTCGGCACCATCCAGGAGATCAGAGTCTTCAAAGACAAAGGATACGCCTTCGTTAGGTGAGTCACAACAACACCAGGAATAAAATATCCATGGAATTAGTTTAAATATGCGTAAAAAACCATTTCAAATAATTGTCTAAATACTTAAAACACGTTTGCAAATGTTTACTTACAATACGAATGTTTAATACTAAGTGTTGGGGTTTCAAACTGCATAGTGATATTCATACATTTTCGACCAACGTATTTACGCAAGGCTGTTGATCAGTACATCAGAATCATCAGATATAAGCGACCGTAACTCATATCTGATTAACAATGATATAAATATCAATATCATGCCTATCACATCAAATAGTAATAGAAATTACTGAAATATTATTTTTTGTTTTGTTCTATAATGTTTTAATCGGAACACATATTAAGAATTTACAATACCAGTTAGTTAGGACACTTATAATGTAGCCAACATTTTATATTTAGGGACCCTAACTAGTATGCCTAAAGTTTGATATGTTCACAGTAGTAGGCCTATTACAGTTTTTCATGTAGGAACAGTTAGTTATCAAACAATGGAGGTTGGCGGCACGTACATTGAGGTGGACCGCAGGCGTCGAGCCAAACGCTCATCAATAGTCATTTATATGTGGGACAATAAATCAGGTGGATAATGGTCCGCCTTGCTCCATATTTTACCACACACATAAACAGGACAGTGGGATGGATGAATGGCGTCGTAGCTCCTTGTTAGATCACTCACTCAACTCACTCAACTCACCGCCACCGAGTGATGGCGAGAAATTTGACACCGTACAAGTCAAAAGACCTTAATGTTTCAAAAAAAGATTTTTTTTACTCTTTACTACTAATGTTTATGTGTTATTTCTAATGGGATAATTTCCTATATTTTTTACGTGCAAACCGAACGCGTGATATATTCGTGCATTCATTTTTCATATACTGTATCGTTTTGTATATATTTATCTCGTAAACTAGTTTTTTCTTATTTATCTTTTTCTTGTATACAAAATTATGTGTAAAATATATCTTATTTTCCTTTTTAAATGTAGCCTTTATTATTGTTTTATTGTGCAGAAGATGGACTCAATCCACAACCACAGACATATAGCCTATTTGGGGATTATATTTCATAAATCGTTTTTTGTACCATTGAACTGGTGTACTGTACTGAAATAATAAAGAATTCGTTCATTCATTCATTCAATTCTATAATATACAGAAATATATATATATGACAACAAGACATTTTAAATGTAAATTGAAAAATTAGGCAATTTCGCTTAGTAGCATTGGTGTAGTTTATGAAAAATATGGTATTTTTTAATATAACGATAAACGATTATCATGTTACCGTATTTGTTTGTTATACCTAAATTTAATCGAGTTTACCAAAAACTCTCTAGGATCGCAATCAAATATATTTATCCCCTATTAATAACAAATTGTATAGTTATTAAATATAGCATAATTTATTTTATTAGCTTCTTCTTCAGGAAAATTTATTCCAACCTCAGCAACAACCTATATGAAAACTTTAATAATTCTTTTACACAATCATTAATTTAAAGAGAGCAAAATTGTATGGCCTACAGATATATGGTTAGCAGTAATATTGAGTGCATAAGATATACTTATACGTGTATATACGAATATTGGCAGTAAGACTAAATGTCTGAATATTTGAGTGGTGGTTAGGGCTCACCACAAACTTTACATTTTAGGGTCGTTGGTTCAATCCTAAGAAAACCCACTTAGTTTTTGATGGTTCGAAACTATGCATCATTGATCATTTGGCTTTTAATAACCGAGTCTGCCTTAAGAAATGTATGACTTTAGTCAGTATATGTGTACTAATTATACCAATACGACATAGATAAAGTTTATACATGAATGTCGACGATAACGTATTGGTATAGTCTAGACTCAGAGTATACATCATATGTAGACAGCAACGTATATTGTGTACAATGGACGTATAGTTATACACGAATGTCAATGGTAACTCATACGTAGAGTGTAGACAATAGATGTATAGTGTATATATTAATGTGGACAGTAATGTATAGGTAGAGTGTAGACAATAGTTGTATAGTGTATACATGAATGTCGACAATAACGCAAATTGTCAAGGATATACGGCAGAATCGTGGAGGTATCAACAAAAATGAACAGGGCCATGTAATAAGCAGCATGGAAGCCATTTGTTTGCTCATATCGTGAGCTCAGCCGTTAGCTCCCGTGTGGCGCTACGAAATCTCCGGTAATATTGGTGTAATTTAATAAATCCCAAGCGGCCGTTGTTGCTGTCTGCCGCTAGTAAATAAAGCGGAATCACCTTAGACTGAGCTAAATGTGTCTGAGCCCCCAATACGTGCGTCTCGTAGGCAACCGATGACTAGTCTTATCAAACTCTTGCAAGGACACAAAACACCATTAGTAACACTTGTTTGACGTTTCTCCAAAGCATAGGAAAATATTTAGTTTATTGTTCATACAAGTACAAACATAAATTTAGTTCGATTAATAATAAATTTGTAACAACTTTTAATTGAAATATTAAATCTCCTTTTTTGATGTTCTGAAAGGTATACTATTACTTATTGTTAAATCATCCATAACCACGTACCTTTACGCGCAATTTTAGTTTCAACATCATTTTACATTTCAAACTCAATTCCTCGAATTGACTGGCAAGCGTAATGAGTGACCACTTCCGGCCTAAAACACACACACACCTAACAAATGAATTCTCTGATGTACATTTAATTTTCTTTATGGCGGTGGTCGGGTCTAATTTAGTCGCCGACCCAATTGCAAACATAAACATGGTATGTAATTATGTGGTCGCACCACTCTGCTCCGTCCCGCTACGTCATTTCTCGCATTTACTACTTCATTTTCTCTAAACTCACTTTTTGGGGCCGGTTTACGTTACTCTCGTGAGCTTTTTAACACAATATTAACGACTTTCGTTTAGTTTTATACTTTATATAAAATGCATACGCAAATATTTAACGAGTCTATTGTCGATATAATGTAAACACACTGAATTCGATTTACTTTATACTACTTTTATCAACACGCTAATATATATTAATCTCAGCTGTTCAGGTGTATAAATTAAAAAAAAAACAGCTCCTGTTTTTTATGTTTCGGTTGGCAGATGACGCGGGTGTTTTAGTGGGTAACTCATTATTTAACCTTTTAACGAAACCAAAATGGCCTTCCAAAGCAACCATCTCACTACAGGATTCAATTTGTTCATGATTTGGATCAGGTTAGGCCAGAAAGTCAAGTTCTTGGATTTGTATTACGGTATTTCCAAATTATAGGCTATTGTTTTATTTTGAAAATACATATGGCAAATAGCTAACCTAACCTAAAATTACCAACTTGTTGAAAAGAGGTTAGTGGCTTACAACAAGAAAACGCCAGTGACTAGTGCTCGAGGCGCAAACCGACACGATCGCCTCTTTATTAACCATTATATTTTTTTACAAAAATATAAACATAAACAATATGAAACAACTCATTTTAATTTAAACTAGTTTAATTTGATAACAAACAGGCGTTAGAGGCAATAAGGTTTAACCAATATTTCGCAATAATTGTGTAGTATTAGAATTATCTTGGTTGCTGCTGTAAGCTTGTTTATGGGTTTATATTCAAAATAGTTTGGCAAATGTCGTCAAAATTGGACGAAAATTATTATTTTATCTCTCATGGTAGCGTTCTCAAAGTATTCAAAAGAGTCAATGTTGAATGTAAGGCGTTTGTCTAAATCCAAAACATTTGTTTATTTAATTTTTTTGTATAAGCACTCAGTAAACATTTTTATTATTCCATTGGTCCTCAGCACCGGGGGTTTTGTGATATTATTATTTTATTCTTTTCAAATCGTTACACATTCGACCAGTGGAGTGGACTAGTCTCTATAATTTGATTTAACGCAAACTCGACCCGTACAATAAACTGTATCATAGAATCTTACAAAATGGGGTGCCTATTTATACACTATTATTATATTAGAATATAAAAATTCTACCTGAAATTTCAGTATAAGATAGAGTTTTGATAAAGGCCTAAGCAAGCATGCCAGCTGTTTTATTCAAAAACCATTCAAAATTTCACAACTTTAACCATTATTATCTTTGAAACGGGTAGGTTTATGAAAAAAATTATAAGAATAAAATCGTCTTAAAATTACATTTTCTACCGGAATACATCATCAAATACAGGGTGTTCCATAAGAAAAATCAAAGTTGGCGGCCATAATAATAAATGGCCATAAATGGCGGCTAAAATAATTTTTTCGACTTGACTAAAATTTTTAAAATAAAACAATCCAAGGCATTCACCAGTTAACTTTTTTTATATCTCTTATGGTTTTAGAATAAAACGGCTGGCACACTTATTTCAATCACCCTGTATGTATATGCCACTCTATATACGTTTGGTTCAAGAAATAATAAAAAAGTGTTTTTTTATTTAAATCTAAATAATTATACTGTTTTACAGTAAATTTTCTTACGTTATATTTTAACCTCTTCTTTATTGATTGTAGGGATTGAATATTAAAACTAAACGGTACTATTTTGGGGGATGAATGGTCCAGCGGTTCTTTCTGTCCCTTTATATGTGGTATTCCGCCAAAACTGTACCATGCGATGAGCTCATGTAGCCAATAATGACAGGAATTTTGTTTGGACAGTGTATATTGTAATAATTTTGTTTAGGAGCTTATAGTAACAAAAGCGATCTAGGACTTGATTATATAGTCATCGTTGTTGCTTGGATAAGTACACATGGGTTGGGATAGCAAAGACCAAGTCGGACCAGCCAGATAATATAAACACGCCAGCAAGACATAAAACGTCCGTCAGTATGTGTAAATACACATGATAAACCTTCTGAGTTACTGTAATTTCAGTATGGTCTTTTTGTGGTACTTATCTTGAAAACATAGTCTGCCGATTAAAAAGCTGGGTCTTTTTCAGAATAGGCCCACCACTTTTTAAACTGTGGAACACCCACAG